CGGATAAGTTGCAACATCCATTATTCGATGCTTGTAATCCGTCTTTTAGGATTTAGGGTTATTCTCCCCTATTCCGTGTTTTAGGATTTGGGGTCATTTTCTGCCGTTCTGTGTTTTCAGTTTGGGGTCATTTTCGGCTGTTCCGTGTTTTAGGGTTTGGGGTCATTATCCACCGTTCTATGTTTTAGGATCTGAGGTCACTTTTCGCCGTTACGCCATTTCACCGTTCCGGCTTTTCGGATTATCTGGAAACACGCTGCTTCATTTTCCGCGGGTATATTCGTGTATGATTTTTATCTCATTATTTTTGCTTTATAATAAATTCTTTGTTGACCAAGCTTCTTCGGTCAAGCTGGCTGGATGTTAGCCTCCTTCCTTTTTTCGCGTTTATATGAACCTCGACTTCGTCTCAGTCCATACAAACACAGAGAAAGAGAGCTCGGCCAATATCCAGCCATCTTTGCCTCATGCTTGGTCAATAACGCGTATATATTGACATTCATTGTTTAGGTTTGATGCGCAAAAAATGTTGAATCGGTGTCGGTGTCAGTATGCATCGATTAAGTCAAAGCATCGACATACCCCCCAGGCACCCACGGGCATTTGACTGTTGGAAATGTAAACCTTGTGTCAGATTTTCCCTGTGGAATACATGCTGTTTATCTTTTAATATGGAGGTGCTAACAGCGGATAGGTCAGAAGAAAGGTCTACGAGGTCAAGGTTTTGAAGCTTAAAAGTTCATTCAATTGCTGGTAGATAAGTGGAAGGTTGCTGATCTTACCTTTCACAACTGATGGAAAATGAGGATTTCTATGGGGAGATAGCTATTACGGATAAGGTTAAGAAAAAAAGTTGGCAAATTTACAGCTAAATAGCCGTGTAATTGCCAAAATTGACCATCTTCTTCCAAAGGTAAGCTCATGCGACTACAAGCGCACAACGGGCAGTGATCAAAAACACCCCGCTAACGTCCGCCATGTTTATTTAGATAAAAGCCTGTTTACAGTTGGCCGCTCAAGCATTACTCAAGCCCGTCGGTTTGGCCAACTCAGAGCCAAAAATCCCAGGCGTATAATTGCTTAAGTAAGGTAATTGCTCACTATTACACTGCGCATCCTGTGGTGCGCATAAGAATCACATACTAAGGCAGATAAGCGCGCGTGAATTCCGAGAACACGGTGTTGTTTGTCAATAATGGACCAGGTAAAGAGGTAGATGGTCTTTAGCTCTCGAGCGAGCACCGCAACCAAGTGCCTGAGTTCTGAATTTCCATCATATTGTGGAGTTTAACCCCTAGTGAACTGATCCTGGACATTGGCGAACCGACTTGATATGTTGGCAAACTGACATCAAACTGCTATTATTAGTAGTAAGTGATGAGTGCACTGACGCATCGACCTCTCATTCTCGATTAAACTTTGAAACTTGACTTTCCACTCAAGTGCTAATGATCTTCTAACTACTATGTCGTCACAAAATTTGGTTTTACGCTCATAAAAAAAAAAACATTCGAGTCTAATCACACACTATGCTTACTATACAGATAGTATCAGTCTGATGGAAAATTCGCCGAGCAGCCTAATGTTGCCTCACCGATCAAACGCTTAAGGTTGGCTTCATTCACTCACGAGAGCGACCAACAATTTTCCCGTTAAAATATTTACCACAGGGGTTTTTTGTGGGGTGGGGGTAAGTTGTATTACAGTTGTATCCTTGCTTGTCAGTGTGAGAACTCCAAAAAGGCAGCATACTCTATATCATCTAATGAACAAGTTTGTCAGCAAGAACCGGGTCGCTCAGGGGCATATTGTTTCGCGTGGCCTAGATCTTTGTTGTAGTTGTAGGAGATGCAGAGTCAAAAAAGCTTCGCAAATTCTCTTAAAGTTGTATGTTTGCAAATCCTCTGTCTTTTCATGATAGACCGAGGACATCTTTGGTCTGTGTGGAAAAGTGAAAATGACCAAATTCATGCCGAAAGGTACAAATTTTAGCGAAAACCTCAGCTCTTGTTTTCAATTCGCGAGTTCGTGCCGAAGTCAGTAATAACTTCTTCAACAGGTGGGGTCTGGAAAGAGTCATTAATGCTTGATAATGATTAAGAACTATGCTACATTTTTGCAAGGTCAGTCTTTTTTATTTTCATAAAGATGGAAGAGGATGAACGTTGTCAAGACGATTTTTCAGTGTTTTCAGTGCTTCCCTCGATAACAATTGATTTCAAATATAACTAATTTTCGTTGTATTACAACTTTTAATTACAGTATGTGGAGGTAGGATGAACAGAACAACTGGTGTAATTGATGAAGCTGGCAGCCCATCAATCTACAAATCTTGCGAATGGACGATTTATTCACCAGTCGAGAATTCCACCATATTATTGATTTTTGAACATCACACATTCAATTGCTGGTAAGAAATAACTAATTGTGTTGTATTTTTTAATCATGCTCACTTCCTTGCTTTCTACAACTAATTGCCATTCGCTCTTCCTTTACATTTATTACCAAAATAAAGATAAGGATTTGCTTCGGTATATACCGGGCAATTTGCAAGTAAAGAGAGGTGATCTGAATGCGTCACCACGGTATGGATAACTTGAATTATTATTGGAACTGACAACCTTAAATTGGTCTGATACGCATATCAACGGCCTCTTCTTACATGGGTTACAGCGAGGAAATAGATCTTACAAGCAAATTTACGCTACATACTGCCCCAATACAGCTTAATTGCCATGTTAATGATTTTCCAATCAGTTGCGTGATGTTTCCTGCTCTGCTGCCGACATTCATCCCTGCGTCACTTGGCGTGGAAATTTCAAAAAAGGCGTTTCACGCATTCGGAACGCCCGTGGATCTTTTAAAACGTTTTTGGATTCCATTTCAACCTCGGTTAATCACCACGATTCTCGTTTTGCACTGAGTAGTTTCTAAATTGTTAAATGAAAAAGGAGGTGAAGCCTGTCGGCACCAAATGTCGGATAGCTCATGTCTAGATGCGCGTTAGTCCAGCTAAAAGGTGAAAATGGCTCTTTTATTTAAATTATTATCTTTTTGCCTTTTTTTCATTCGTCGACCTTCTCACAACTCTGTAATGATGAACTTTGTAACCATCGTCGATTAAATGAATTAGTGTCACCCCCTAATGTAGAGGATGTCTTACGTGCCCAAGTAATGCGTTTGATTTGTCATACATCTGTTCGACAATTTTTCCATCTTTACATAGGAATTCATGGACTTCGATACGGACTTGGAGACAAAGGAAGGATCTTTGCCAAGAAAGGGACCTATTTGCAATTTTGGCATTGGGCAGGAATGTCACAGTCGCTCTCATCTCGCTCGGTTATTCCTTTAGATTAAAGGCCTATTTTATTGTGCTGAACAGCACAACTTCAAAAGGTAAGTGAAAAGAGTAAGTAAGGGTTGTTGATTCACTGTATTAATTCTTCTTTGTGGGATCATTAATCGCAAACTATATGGAGAAGCTCTCCATAGGTAAACTATGTAAGACACTCTTGTTGAAGAAGTGAAAATATATAGATGTCTTGTTCAATTCAGTTTTCTAACGTGTAATTATCATTTTCTTAATAAGGCCCTGAAAGATTTCGACAAAGAATTTTATGTCCAAGCAGTACATTCAATGTTCATACCTTTTGGATCACTTTGAGTTTAAATTGTTGCCCTTTTATAAATATTTTACAAACACTGAATTTTACGAAAAAATTGACATTGTCATCTGTAATTTTAGTTCGTTTCATGGCTATACCCATTCTATTATGCCCGGAGATGCTATCAAAGCTTGCACCTTTAAAAAAACCTTACATAAATGAGGAGATACGCTTATACTGACAATGATATGTTATTCACCAGACGAAAGGTCCGTACTGGGAAAAACTGTGCCCGAGGTCTTGGATACCGCCCGAGGCCGTAAGTTGAGGGCGGTACTCGAGACAGAGGGCATAGTTTTTCCCAATACGGACCGACGAGAGGATAGTGAAAAACATTTTAATTTTTTTCTTAAACTTAACGAAATGCTAAGAAATCGAATAACTTAGGGCTGTAGTTCACATCCTCTATAAAAGGAAAAATTTTTGAGCGAGTACATGGTAGAGAAAACAGAGGTAACGCAAATCATAAAGAGAGGCTTCCTGGAAACATTTTTATCTGCACACTGATAAGGGTGATTTAAAAGGCTTCCAAGCAATCATTGAAACATTTTCTGTCACGATCTGACACCTGTCACTTAGAAAGCGAGTAAGCAAAAAAATAAGCGCGCGGACACTAAAAAAAAAAAAAAAACAGCATTAGTTTAGGCGAGTAAACTCGAGGTAAATGACTTTCACTGTGACTTTTTCATCTTCACTGATCTTGCGGAAAGAATTGTTATATTCCAAAGACGATTAGTCTGCGAAGAATTACCTCTGTTAATAATAATAATAATAATAATCAACTTTATTTAAAGAGGGTAAAACACATAACAGTATAAAACTTACAAACCAGTGGTCCTCTGTTCAGTTTCAAATGTCAAGGGAAGTCAAATTGTGAGTAAATTCAAAAGTATGTTTTCAAGTTGTGAGAGTCGCTTGTTTGCTTGCTGTCATGGCGTCTGTAAAATCGTTTTTCCACCGAAAAATTGAAGTCAAATGACATGCTTTTTCTAGCTAGACACAAGGGGATGTAATGCAACTTGAAGTCATCGAATTTCTTCGACTTCTGTTGTCAAATGTACGGTAGAAATATCCAAATTTCCCGATCTTGCAAAGAATCAGCGAAAGTTGATCTATAGTAGATCTCAAACCTTCGCTCAACGTCTTACAACGAACAAATCGTTTTGGAGAATTCAGTCTGATATTAAATGAATGAAAGGTACATCAATAAATGTAATTGTGAACTGCAAATACCTCTCTTTTTAAATTTCTTAGTTACTTTTGATAATGATTATTGAATTACAAAAGGTTTTGTAGGTCGTATGTCAATCTATTTTTAAAAACATTTGGTACCAAACTAGGAAACCCTGAAAATAAAATGGAAATTTTCATGAGCAAATGCCTGGCATTTCTAGGAGACCAAAGATGTTATTTTTTTGTAGAAAATCTTTCTTTTCGAGGCGGATAGTTTGTATGCTGGATTTAAAAACTCCTCACCTGTTGTTGAATTTTTGAAACACGTTAGACACAATTTTGGTGGTTAAACAGCATTGCTCTGTTAAGGCCCGTAATCATAACTATGTATCCAACAATATTCCATCGGTTCAGTCGATCATTGGAAATCCATGAGTGACATTGTCGGACTAACTGGTTCACATACCAACCATTTTGGAGTCTGCTCGACGTCAGGGTTACTGCGGCATGGATGTTGATTCACCTATAAATTATATTCGTCGTGTACCTAACTATTATTGAATGTTCATGAAACAAGCCTTCAAGCTTTAGAAAAGAAATATTTTTCGACGAGGAGTTGTCATGGTCACCAACTTTGATCTCCCTAGAACCCCGTCCAAGAGAGCTAAACGTTGACGATCAGAATCGAAAAGACAAACTGATTCAGCTAGACCTTCGTATTTAGCGATGGCTAAATTCATGTTTTGAAGAAAGTTGCAGCAGTTTAAATTATTTCATCAATAATCTATAGCAGCCCTTTTGCACACACCAAAACATACTCAAATCGGTAAAGGTGTCCTTTTTTTCGCGATTTAAAGAGAAAGGTAAAAATTATTTTGATATCTGATTTCGTAGATGTTGCAAGAATAGAAAATTTAAGTTATTGTTTTCCTAGATAACTGATAAATTTTCTTTGAATATCTCCATTCTAAGGTCACCAGCGACATGATTGGAATGTTTCAGTTAGAAACGTAAGCTCAAAAGCAGTCGAAGTGAGTTGGGCTCGACTTGATAACAACAACTCAAATTCCACTCACATATATAGTTATGTAGCCACCGTGCACATGACGACGCAGTATGATGCTGGTGATATACTTGTGCTGAATGTGACAAATGCTCCCTCCACAAATACAAGTTCCTCCTTGAGTACGGTGGTGAGAGGCCTTAGACCCTACACAAAGTACCGAGTAAAAGTTGTGGCTCTTGTAAGAGATCAGATAACTGGTGTAATCTCATTAAAAAGCAGTGCAGCCATTGAGATTACAACTCAAGAGGGTGGTGAGTAAATTCAAACGATCTAGTAATCCATGAAGGTAATGATGACCTGAAAACTATTGATAATTATTCAGGCCCGTTATGTTCAAAATTGATTCATTTACTTTGAAACAATCAAAACTAATTTTGTGCTTATTAAGATTAATTTTGTCCCTTTTTATATTTATTTTACAATTTCTATTTCTCATATTGCCCTGCAATTAATTTTTGGGTATGTAATTTTTGTTTTCTTTGCATTATACAGAAAAGCTTTTAGTCCTGATTTTTTCTTCCGATGTGTTGCAATTATTTTTTGATCGAATTATCTTTTGATTCCATGATGCATTGCGATCGAATTATTTTTCGATTCCATGATGCATTGTGAGCCCCTCGTGTCGGGCGTGCTACAGATATTAGGGAGCTTAAGATACAGACGTTTTCGGGGCGACGGCGACGTGGAGACCGATTAAGATTGGGGCGAGATTAACTGTGCATGCGGTCCCACCGTCGCCCTCACGTCGGCGACGTGAGATCAGCGAGGTTGCCGTTGTGGTGAAAACGTGAGTTGATCTTGTTTGTTTTTGTTAATATAATGCCAATTTTGTCACCTGTATTAAAATGATTGCATTATCACATTTCGCACAAATCATCACACGATGTCTCGGCGAACTTAAGAGAGCTTTTGTTTTCTCTACGTTAAAATGACCGAAGCAACTGCTAAATCCAAATCGTCTAGGTAAGTTTTGGGCACGTACGCGTACAGTACTTGAATTCTTAACATAAAAGGGAATTTTTGCTTGCTGCCATTCCCTTTATCAATTCGTAGATGCACCTCGAAAACCTACACCTCAGATCTATGGAGATTTTCTTAGCTTAGTGCGTAGTCTTGGACTGAAACGTCATATTCTTAAATAAAGTTCTTATCGTATCCGACTTTCTTCATGTCGTTAAAGGCTGGCTTCTTCGGTAGTGTAGGAGCTCCCGTAAGTTGAGTATCTCTGAAGGTGTCTAACGGTGTTAACTCAGTGGAACCGAGTTCTTCTAACGACTCCAATTGATATTAGAACGAGCTGTTGCCGTTTGTACATTTCCTATTTCAAGTTAGAAGATGTTAAAGCCATAGGACATTGATATTCTGATCACAATGTAGCTCTATGAAAAGTGTCTTTAATTCTTGTTTCCAAATTAATTCTAACTCCGACTCCTTTTTTTTCAGCACAATGGAATGGACAAACATGCATGACACATTTTTTTTTAGGGAAGTCAGAGCATCTGACCTGTATGAAACAAGAAAGGGTAGCCCTGAGAGAGGAAAGGTGTGGGATGAGATTGCTGCAAGACTCAACAGCCTCTCACATCCCAAATTCATTGTCAACAAACGGTCATTGCGAGATAGGCTCAATCTTTTTAGGGCCAAATTCAAAAACAAGAATAGGGAGGAAGAAAAAGCAAGTGGTATTAGTCCAGAGGTGCGAGAAATAGACACTCTGCTGGAGGAGCTGTCTGAAAAAGAAGAAGAAGCAAAAAATAAGCCCTCGATTAGAGACAAAAAGCAAAATGCTCAACAAGAGAGAGCAAAAGCTGAGGAAATGCGGCTGAAGGCAATGGAGACTATGGGACAAAATAAAAAACTAGTTGAGGAAAGTGATGAAGTAAATTTAAGAAAGAAAAAAAGAAAAAGTACTGGTGATGCTATTGGATTCTTGGAAAAGAAAGCAGAACAAGAGATGGCCTTGCGGAGGAAAGAGATTGAAATGAAAAAACAAGAAGGGATGAGAGGTTCCCAGCAGACAACAATGCAGCAGGAAATGTTAAGGATGATTCAGCAACAGCAAGAAGATCAGCAGAAGCAGCAACAAAGAAAGGAAACCCAACAGCTGCAATTTTTGCAGTCAATGTTAAACCAGCAGCAACAGCAATCACAGGTTCTTCTAAGCCTTATTGAGAGGTTGACTCCCAAGGAAAATCACTAACAGTTGCTCAGTGTTGGCACTTATTAGTACTGTTACAAAATTCCTTATTGTGTTTTTTATTCCATTTCTCATGTGCAAGCTGTTGTTAAAAAGTGTTGAGTTAATGTCATGTAAGAATTCATAGACATTGTCATGGTTCCAATTCCAATTATGAAAGCAAATTTTTAAAATAACTGCCAACTTTGGGGACTGTAGTTGGATGATTGAAACAAGATAATTTATGTTGTATTGGCATTGGACAGTCCTACAGGATAGTAAGCTGCAACTTTTTCCTTTCTCTTCCTCTCCTTTGTTAATTTTCAAGCCACCATAAAATGACACTGTCACACAGAAAGAGCTGCAAGGGTGTCCAATTATCTTACGGAGGTCAGCATGTGTGCACATATTTTTAGGTTGAGTTTGGTCTTATAATTAACCCATGCAAAGAGGCTAACTTTAATTTTCAGGAGTGCAACACTGTAAAATAATTCATTTTAAATGGACACAGAAATTTGAAAGTGAATATTAATTGCAATACTTCACTCCTTGTTAAATGTAACACTTGAGATTGTATATCCTTGACAGTACACCCCATATATTAAATAAAATTATTGCTCTATCTACTTTATCTATGGATTCAATCAAATCCATAAAAGTAAAAAGCATATTAGACAACAACAAAAAAAACAATTGTTGAAGCCGCAGTTTCTGTGATTTACTTGAGTTGTTGCCAACAAATTCTACTTAATTTTAACATTTCATGCTTTCTCTGAGTCAAGATTCAGTGGGCAAACACAAGCTCTAACTGAAAATGATTTTTTCCAATATCAGTTAGTTTTACTATTGATACTATAGTAATCATATATTTTCTTTTCATATTTGTTGTCATCTGGATTTTTTAATTCATCTAAAGTAATACTGGAGGCTTCGAGGGTCAAGTTCAAAAAAATCTGAGGTCTGATTACCATAGAGACATGTTAGAGCATTTCGTAGGAGTGCACATACAACATATGTTTTACTAATACTACTAAGGCCAATTTTTAGATTCTTTTTAAAATCAAGGAATTTGAAATAGTTTAAAATATCACCAAACAGCCATTCCACTAACACGCGGACCGAGCTCATAGAAAAATTAAACATCTCCACCTGGGGAGTGATAGCTGCTCCTTGGAATGGTCCTTGGAGGTTCAGTCGAAGAGGGTAAGCAGGATCTCCATAGATACACATAGGTTGGCCAGTGGTGGAAAATGCATTTTGCTCTAAGTCTCGTAGGAGTCCAGATTCTGCCAGCATTCCAGCATCATGTCTCTTTCCCTCTAAAAAGATACTAGAGCATTAATGTAAGTTCAGAGACAACTACAAGCTCAGACATTCTTGCTTTTCGTCACGCACGGATTAAAAAAAGATGGCGTGACAAGACAAAAATATGAAAGTTGATGGCCCTGCCTTCAATTCATAAATGCAATATGTTTTCTGTCTAAATGTTACTTGCAATACTTACTCTATCAGAAAATTAAAGAAATGCTGCCATTTAAAAACCATGTTTATAACTATATTTACCCTCTAGCTTTGCTTTTCGGATTACAGGATATGTGTATTGATAAACAACATAGTTACCTACAGGGCCGTAAAGATTTGCGATCAATCCATTCGGCAAGACGAGAGACTGAAATTTTATGGCGTGAACGCGTTTATGTCCATAGTACATCACTCTCTGATGCTGATCAGGTCTGGCAATGGGGCGTACAGTCCCATCAACAAAACCAAAACAACTCTGAAGTGCAGCCCCTTTGTCGTGAACTAATCGAGCATAAATTTCTAGTGCAGGTGGGTTTAGCAGTGCGTTGTTCCATCGAGTTAGGCGATGTCCGTGGATATTGTAAAGAAAATCAATGACATGATTTGTGGCCATGCTTAGAACGGGTACTGGACTGCCAAAACGAGGCAGCATATCACCAAATCTGCATGGGTAAGCAAGCCGTCGCAAAAGCATACAGAGGCCTTCCATTCCATCTACTATGCTTCCTTGGCTTAGTTTGAAGGATGATGGAATCTGCAAGGCTTCAGCAAGAACTGGAAGATCCTTCTTGTCAAACCTGAATTCTGCTTTGCACTCAGCTTCACTCATGTTATCCAAGTCAAAGCGACTATACTCGTCATATGGAAAATTGGGGTTTTTAGACGGAAACATTTCATACAAAACCAAGAACTCTTCATCACTAATAAGATTAGCGTCATAGTAAAGGACGAGGAGATGGCGGAATTCTTCAAACGTAGCCATGCTACGACAAAAAGCCTTAATTTATAAAGCGCAACAAATAAACTCGACGAAGTCGCAGAGGCCGGCCGTCATCAGAATCTTAACAAGTTAAATTATGGCGCGAAAACGGCAACCTCTGACCCAGTCTACCTGGGTTTTTACGTCGCCGTCGCCCCAAAAACGTCTGTATCTTAAGCTCCCTAATGGCACACTGAACACGACGAAGTGCACGAATTCTTGAAGCTATTTCGAATTGTCTCGCAAAAATATTGTAAGAGGAAGAAGTGAAGGAGGATTTTTCTGCAGAATCTGAAGGAATTTATTAATCTTTTTCTTGCCCCGCAAGATATCAAATGGATGAAGGACCTAAAAGAACACATTTTGGCGAGTTCAAAGTTAATGTGATACTAGAACAGGTAGAATTTTTTAGGTCACCACACATTTGCAAATCAAATAATACCATCCCTTATTCCGCTTGATATTTGACTATCAGCTCATTTAAGCAGTACTTGTTTCAGGCAACCATAAAACAACCTGTATACTAAGTCATGGTTTATGTACTTTTTCGAGTTAAAATGTGTGATTCCAGTAAAATTCCATACCCCCACCACATAGGGAATCGACAAAAGCCATCCGAAAAAGTTTTCCCTCGTACAGTGTGAGTAAATTAATGTAAAATGTGGCATATTAATCCACTGAGCTTGTTTCTGAAAATGCGAAAAGTTGGGGACATTCTGTGGTTTAGATACCTGATCATAATGAGGTAATTTGTAAAATTCTTTAGATTGCATGCCTTTTGGAGAAATAGGTTCCACTACGTAGTGCTTTGGCAGTAACTTATTGGCATGGGTCATGAAAATTAGGCCTTTTAGGTACAGGGACATTGATATTAGCTGCATTCACAACAAGAACTCTCCTTGTTCAAGAGTCATCCCTTTTTGAAATAAAATCACAAAGTTGAATGGGAAAACAAAGGTAGGAAATCAGAACGACCTATTTGTTTTCTTCTTGACTTTCTCCTTCAAACATTATAAAGCTGAAAGGCCTGATATTTCTTTAGAATGTTTCTAGTAAAAAATCATCCACTTGAACTTATACCAATTGCTGTTAGTTTCCACTCTAAGTTTTCATCAGAGATGTCACTATTGAATACGATTACTGTTTGGAGATTATCACTAATTCCTAATTTCGGACGCCTTTTCTGAAGTATTGTTACATCGACTTGAAGCAAATGAGCTATTTTCTCCCGAGAAAGAGTCGTGACCTCAAAAATTCTATCAGTTCCAGTATCACAAATAACTTTTGAACTCGCCAAAATGTGTTCTTTTAGGTCCTCCATCCATTCGATATCTTGCGGGGCAAGAAAAAGATTAAGAAATCCCTTCAGATCCCGCGGAAAAATCTGTAACCCTCTTACATTCTTCCTCTTACAATATTTCTGCGAGACAACTCGAAGTAGCTTCAAAAATAATTTGAGAAATAAACGATGAGATCAGTGTGATGACATTTCGCCAACTTGTAGATTTAGGAGAACATGATGGAACTGATATGGAAAATCAGGGCATTTGCTGGGATTTGGTCGACTCCCTTATAGTTAATTCAAACTTTAGTTGTCAACAGTGCTTGAGAAATAGCAAGTCTCTTCCTTGCGGAAGTCACATTTTTGTCTGGTACATCAATCTAATGCAACTCACAAGTGGTGAAAGTGCTCTTTCAGAAGACTGAAGTTTTTATTTGGCCTTTTTGCCAGAATTCTGAATTTTAAATCGAAGTCTTCACGCTGATGTCTTCGAAAACAAATTTCCTTTCGAGGAATTGCTTTAGATAACTCAAGTGAAAATGAAATATCCTAAGAGTTAGACCACTGGCATACAAACACATTCAGTTATCTTCTGGTTTGTTCCAGCCTTGATAAAAAGCAGCAACACTTACCGATCATTCCCTGGAAGATCTGTGAGCTTTAAAGCTTGTTTCCATTGTGCTAACATCAGAGCTGATCACGCTACATTTCTTAGTCGCTCCGTCACTAAGGTTTTACTCCGGCTGCCTCCTTTCCACTCTGGTTCGTAGTCAAGGAGATGTTTTAGAAAATCTCTTCTTTGTCGTATGTATTTCATAGGTATTTCACATTCATTTGGCAATTCCTTCAAAAGCCACCTGACTCGTGGAAACCTATCCCAACGTTCTCTACTATGTCTCCTTCCCCGAGAAACTAAGTGATAACTCATGGCTGGCAGTCAGCACGTCATAAAAAACGTTGGCATTTTGTTTTTAGACTTTAGGCCTTTGACGTACGAATCATGCCTGTTTTTGTTCGAATTATCAACACCCGCGCATAGTGTGTTGAATTTGTGAGGCGCAGGCAACGATTGAAGATAAGCCATTGGTGGTCAAACCAATTTTGACACTATCTAACGACGAGATTACGTCAAAAAAAAACTCCATTTAATTCTCTTGCTTACTGGCCGATTACAAGTTGGAAAATACGGTTAAATTAGGATCTGCGAATGCATGTATGATAAATACTAGGACCTGCGAATGCATATATAATAAATACATCGTCACAAGTAGGAGATGCGCTACTAAATAAACTCCACTTTCAAAAAGGTGGTTAAGGTGCAAAAGAAAAACCCCTTCCGTGATAGAATATTCGGACAGGTATTTTTTCCTTTTTCTGACACAGCGGATCTTCAATACTGTTAACCACATTACATATGCTTTCCCTCTTCTTAGTTCCCGGTGCTGTTCGATGGCTGTCTGCATGGCACCGAGGTTCCAGCAGTCTTCGGATTCAGTGGAGTCCAATTTCTAGCGAAGAGGCAAATGGAATTCTTCTGGGCTACACAGTGTACTACAGACCTTATAATTCAAACGAGAGCTTCACGAATATTAGTGAGAATGCTCGAGTATTAACTATAACCGGTCTGACGAAGGCTACAATATACGAGATCAGAGTTACAGGTCGTACATCCGCTGGGGAAGGTGCAGAGCGGTATACATATGCTCAAACAGGTATCTCATTTCTAAACTTGAAGTTCCAAAATAAGTTCAATATAGGAAAAAATTTTAAAAAATCACAACTTTTTCTAACTTTATTTCGCCTGTAATCGATTTCTAGAAAATACGTGAGCCGAATTTCGCGAGTGTTAATTCTAATGATTGCTGGAAAATCATAGGCCAAAGTATACTACATTTTTGTGTTTTTATTTCCCTAAATTCTGTAGTAAGGACACTTGTCATCAGCTACTATAACCGGTGACATAGACTTAAAAGCGAGACTGCTATACTTTCATTTACATAAAGTGAGACCTTTTGCCACAATAAAGCTACCTTTATAAAACTGAATGGAACACGACAGAACAGGTTTCTGTGTACTTGATGAATGTCATACTCGAAAGATGTTCCCCTATACTTTTTATGTGAAGCGCGATTAATTATGATAATATCTGTTCATAACCACGTGAACGAACTTTTTCATTTGAGCGTGACACGTCAATAAGCAGCTGAGTTAAACGTGATAAGAAACCATTTTGTTTTGTGTGATGAATTTCCAGGTATTTCATTGTTTTGAAATGCACTTATTGTTCTCGAACAGCTGTGGTTAGATTTTGATCAGGGTTCTGACTGTACCTAGACTTCATGTGGACCGACAAAAATCATAAAACAGTCCACAAGTGGTTCTTGAACAAATAAGATGCCTGACATTACGTCCTATCTGGTCAAGACGAGAAAAAGTGAAATATTCATTCAGCGTGATTGTCTTGAGTTTGGGTGAACGTGTAAGAATTTTGGGTATTATATGTGATGTGTGAAAAGGCCAAATATTTTTACGTGACTGAATTTTTACAAAAGGGTAAAGGACCCTCTCGAGACATCCACGTCTTAAATCTTTAACTCCCAGAAGTGATTAACGTGCAACTTCGCCCTATAATATCCATACAATGTCCTGCAGACAGGTAATGAAAATACTCAAACTAATCAGGTAGAGGTTGTTATCTTGACCTAACAACAAATTCTCGTAACTAATCTACAAGAAAATGTGTAACACCTAGGGCTGAGAATTAACAATCAGATTTTGGGAGTTTCAGAGTTAAAGAAACTTGAGTTGTTTAAGTTGAACTCAAAAGCGAAGAAACTGGATAAGGTGCATTTTAAAGTGATATGGATAACATGGTGTTTTACGACAAACAGCATTTCAAAGGGGCCACATCCATCTGAAGAAAGGTCAATCAAATGAGACCATACTGAAAGTGTATGAGTATGTTTACTTGATTTTGCTACGAAATGTCAATGAAAACTTGTTTTAGCATTCAAACTTTAATTTTGCTCTAAAGTTATATCAAAATTTGCGGATGAAACACAAACGGTGATGATAAACATGATGAAAAACACACTGTCTGAAGAGTCGACGGAAGTAACCGTTAAAACTTTGGCAAATCATCCTTGAATCTATTAACCCATAAAGCATCAGCTTTTTACCGCTCGACACGACATTTAGAGATGGATTTTATTTTGGAAGATCTATTCTGCATAAAATTCGTTGACTTACCCTGCTTATCAACGTTCTTTTCGAATTTTTACTGAGTTAAATTAGTATGCCCCAAAACAAGAGATTATAGGAAGCATTATTATGTATGCCTAATTTGTAACTTAAAGTTATCAACATTTTATTTTCTACTCGCACACCAATATAAAGACAATCACAATGGTTACAGGTGAGAGATAAGCTTCTCTTCGCAACGGGTTTCGCTGTAATGAACTTACTCACAAATTATATTGAAACAAACTTTTCTTGAAAAAAAAAACTTTTGAGTTCTACCCTCTTACGAAAGAATAATGCACAGTAAATGTTTTGAGCTTAGGATCGTGTGATGTTAGGGGAGCCCCGCAGCACCACCATGCTAATTTGAAATCGAACGTATATCGAGGTATGGATACACGGAAGTTTGGAGAGCACGAGAGAATTGTGAAAGTTGCTCGAGGCGCCGCCGAGATTAACTCTAACTTCTTGAGTGCTCTCCAAACTTCCCGAGTGCATCTATATCTGTATATACGCAGAGCTAAAGTATGAACCAATTCTTTTATAACGTGGTAAAAAGAAACAAGCTGTACTCGAAAAACAAGAGTCTGCTGATCACAAATGTGTCGTGTATGTATGTGTAATAGGACTACATGCTATCCAATAATTGGATTAAAAACTCTGTGGACAGCCAAAATTTGACGATGCGTAGGCCGAGTCCAAACTGGCTGTCAGAGGAATTTTTTTAATCTAATAATTTCCAATTAATCATATAGCTAGTCAGTTGTAATTGGGCATTGCTCAGTCAAACTATTTCTCTTTAATGTTTTAAACCCGTCCAATTTATATAGTTTCAGATATCCAATTTAACCCATAATTGGACAGTTTTTAAAAAATTAAAAAATAATAGCTATGCTGACAGTTTCGGATTCGCTACCAACTATACAATTAAAGCGGTAACCGTGTTCTACGCGAAAACTATGAATAAAGGACAGGGCAAAAACGATCAAGAAAGTCTTTATTCAAATTACTATAAATTTCTGCTCAAAAGCAAAAAGCGAACGGTTGCCTTGCATGTACAAGACCGCGTAGAAGATTCAGCATGCTTGAATCGTTGTTTTCTAGAATTCATCGCCAGAAAATTGCGTAGCATTGTGCTGAAATTTTTTAAAATTCTGAGATTGTACAGTTTCAAAACGAAAATCTCCTATTGAACCATAATTTTAGGAAATATCAACACTTAAAAGTAATATCATTCGTTCGAAAAAAAAGCGAAAAACTCTTAAATTTTTCGCATTTACGAGACCATTGAGGTAGATTTTACTAGTCCTTTCGTCCATATTTATTTGTTCCAGATTACCTTTCAAGACTGTCGTGTGCACTTAGCCTTTTTCCGACAACCTTTCTGCAAACAGCTGTATATGCATGTATGTGCGGATCAACTCTTCAGAGACTGACTCTGGAAAGCTGGTTCACAAACTTAGTGCAGACTACCCGCAACAGGTGTCAACGACTACTAACGCCTTTTTAATGACACTCTAGACCAAGAAGAATAAAATTCAATTCATCAAGGAACAGTTCTATTTTCTTACCTCTTCCCGTCAGAAGAAATCATTTTTAAATTTTACCTACCAAAAATATTTTACATACTTAATAGTAACCGTAGAACGCTCGAAACTTCGTATTTTCCAGTATTTTTACATTTACTAATTTAGTTAGAGATCCCTAACTAACGAGAAAATTGCCTAACTCTATCAGTTCTATGTTTCAGATTGTACAGAGCACTTCGATAAGCCATCGGGTGAACTCAGTTTCAACAAAGGATCCGCGCCGTATTATAGCTGGTATCATTATAGAAGGTATTATAATCCCTGTTACTGGACGATTCAATCTCCGGTTGTAAATTCCAGCGTCCTTCTTGTTTTTGAAGAACACCAACGTGATACATACGGGTAAGATTTGAGATTCTTAATCTATAGTCAGGGTGAGGATACCAACCTGATCAATGTGCGGTAGCTCTTAGAGTTGAATAGTATTGTGGTAAAGGTTTAAAAATACAGGGCTTTTTTGTCACGCGTTCTATATTTCAAGATGGAAACGAGGCTAAGACCTACATCGACTCTTTAGCTCGTAATGAATAAGCGAATGCGATTAAAATTTGATGGAGACTTCACAACCAAATAAGTAGATATGAAGCATATGACAAGATGATAGTAATGAATTTCACGTGACTTGACTTCAACATTTCTGCCCTAAACTTTTAGAAATATCGAGTAGGTCAATATCGCACGCTTGTTTTCTAGCGATTAGAAGACTATTACGCTTACCTGTGCGGGAGCTTGTTAATTAACAGACTAATGAGCCGGTTTCGTAGTTTAGCCTAAATTTCAGAATAATTTATCATTTTTCACGGTGTTAAGGTACCAGACTTACATCGGAAGTGCGAGACAATCAAAGGAGCTGCACAGCTATCAGAAGGTGCCTTTTGCAGTTCTGGTGTTGGACAGCTATGCGACAGTCTATTTTGAAAGGAGAAATAGTTATGATCAACTGAAAGCTCACTATTTCATTATGAACAACTCACGCTCCAATGGTAAGTTAAGTAGAGTTAAAGTATTCCTGAGTATTTTTACGATTTGTGCCGTATTTTGACGGGCCCGTAAGGCGAGTCAAGACGCAGACAGCATATACATTTACTCAGCAATATGCACACCAAAACGTCAAACAAGTTATTTATAATCCAACTGCTTACTTTACGCTCATTCCTTATAGGGCAGGAAAAGTAAAGTAGATAGAGGGGCGTAGCACGCGCAGCCGACCAGTTAAACAGGTTTTTTTACACTTCAAATAACCAACTGTCCAAATATTGCGTGATATTTGTACTCAATTCGCCCGTTATTTGTAGTTTATTTGGTGCATTTGGATAACAAATATATCTTATTAGACGTTTTGTTGTTTGCATTTTTCTTCCGGCGGCACAACTCGTAAAAATTCTCAGCGATGCTACACAACAAAACGTCTAATAAGTTATTTATTATCCAACACGCCAAATTGTTATTCCAGTGCGGGCGAATTTCGCGGATATTCGTTGACTGAGAATGCGTGACTAAAGTATGCGAGGCGGAACGGAATTACCGTGTTGTTGCGTTGCTGTTTCTATTTCCTTCAATAAATGAAGAAATTTCTTGGTCGTCTAGCTTTTTTTCTTCGTTTGATTCATCTAATAAACTTGGATCTATATTTGCCAGCCATTCCGACTCTTCGTCGTCAGAAATATGTTTCAAATTGTCCGCCATTTTTATTTCCTAACTTCAATCCAATTCTTCGCTTGCGCGATGCGAGAAAACCTGTCTAACCGGTTCGCCGGAATACAAATACCCCGTGATGTTTGTACTCGTCTATGGCGTTATTTATACTCTAAGGAGTGTTGTTGGATAATAATATCGTTTATTCGGGACCTTTGAACCCGCTAATTTGAAGGAGTCTGGTCAATAATTTGGGGAATCTGAGAAGTTAAGAGAGTAATACAACTGAATTTGAAAAACATTAAGAATGACGTCATTATTTAGCTTTGGACAGTTGATAACGATTTTTTTCCATACATTTCAACATCTGAGCATGAAACTGAAATGAATTTAAAAATGGCCACTTCAGTTGTTATTTCTAAAATCAAGCGAAATTTAAGCAACTGGTTGATCAAACCCTTTACAATTTAATGTTCAAGCTCTATATCAACGTGGTTGGAATGTGACGGTAAGTAACGTCAGCTCCATGGCGATTGGTGTCAGTTGGCCTCCGCTGAGTACCACCAGCTCAAATTCCACCTACATATACGGTTATGTGGTTTTCTTGCGCATGCGTTTGAATGGTATTGGTGACATACTTGTGCAGGAAGTAGCAAATTCTACTTCCTTCAGCACGGTGGTGAGTGGACTAAGAGCCTACGTGAAGTACCAAGTGAAAGCTGTTGCTCTCCTCAAGGATCGTGTGAGTGGAAAAATATCCTTGAAAACGAGTGAAACTGTCGAAATTCAAACTGCAGAAGGGGGTGAGTAATTTTCAGTCTATTAATAACATCGAGAGAGCGACGTATCCTAAGTTCTATTTCGTGAAGTATCACTGAGTAGCTAGGAAAGGATAGATCACATTTTCGGGTCAGTTACCTCTGCTTTGCCTCCTGCCGAAGATACTTATGTAGGGTAATTAGTTTCGTTTTTCGAATACTTTTTTGGTCGAAACACTGAACTCCTTATCAACTAGGAGCTGAAGGAGGGTATCTAAACGGCTATAGTGTTACCCCCTGAACGATTGTGTTCATAAAGTTGAGAATGGCGTCTTGAAACATGGTAGCGTGATGCATTAAACACTCAATGGGAGGCGTTTTTTTATTCCTTAGGAAGCCAAGGTGCTAGTTTGAAAGATAACTTTGTAAATTTCTTCGACTTTAACGAAGAGGATAATTACTGAAAAGACTTTCGCTAATAAATCTAATATCTAACTTTTACTCCTTACAGAAAGCTCTACATTTAAGTTATGCGAAAAAAGAATTAGGAAAGCGCTTTCGGGAACATTGAAAGACGTCAGAAACAACGGAGATAATTCCTCCGAGCCCGAGCCCGAGCCCGAGCCCGAGCCCGAGCCCGAGCCCGAGCCCGAGCCCAAGCCCAAACAAACCACTACCAAAACCACTGATCACCTGAAGTCATTACCAAAGCTATACGTCACGTTTATTTTCAAAATCGGCATCTTGGCTCCCCTTACCTTAGAGGATACCAGCACTCGTAGTTGCTTCAAGTTATAGGAAACAGGATAACCCCTGTATTAGGTTAGCCACTTAGGAAGCAAGACTCGACCTATATGAAAGTAACTGATTGGGAGCTTGAGCAAGCGTTGCAGAAACCTAAGCGTACTGAGCTCCACATGAAAGGCTTTGCTTTGAGAATCTATTTTATTGCTTGTTGAAATATTTGTATATACTCACTATATAGGTACCTCTGTACAGAAATGCTGACAAGCGTACTTAGATACAACTAAATATCCTGTACTTGTACCCAAATTGTGGTCGCTAATAAAAAAAAAATCGAATAAACAAACACAAAACAGCAAGAGATATTTCATAATAATCAACATACCGTATTTGATGTTGATCCCAATTATTCTGTCGTGGTCTTTCTGTAAGCTGTTGACAAACAGCACTCGATACCAAGAATAACACTTCTTTAATTGCCCAATGATTCCAAGTAAGACCTGTTTTCAATCTGTGAAACACTGATGTGGCATATAGAACATTGAAATCAGTTGAGTTAATAATGAAAACTTTGATTCAAAAGTCAAAAACTATTTACCTTTTTACCTCATTATTTAGCATACATTGCGGAGGTATTTTTACAGCTTCCTTACTAAGAAACCAAGTCTTGTATTACAGCACCCTATCGTGGACCTTCGTACAACAAGGTCTTTGCTTTGGATTATCAGAGTATTTTTGTCAGTTGGTATGCATTGCCTCAAGAGGATAGTGGTGGCGTTCTGCGAGGATACAGAGTGTCTTACCGAGACTACCGAACCCAAATCAAAAATGTTACCTTGGAATCAGAGGAGCGGCAGGTTATCTTGACTAATTTAGAGCCGAGAACAAATTATGGTATCTACGTCTCTGCATTTACAGCCAAGGGTGAAGGTCCAAGAAACTCTTATTCGATCACTACACGTATGCGACTCATGTCATTAATTTATTGATGTTTACATATAAACTTCATCTCCGACTGTTAAAAAAATGGTTTTCTCTTTACTAACATACGTGCGTCGGTAATCACAACCGAAAAGAAGTCCCGCCGATATGCTTTTATTTCCTTAGTTGATTGTTTGTTGCATAACTATAATCATTCTTATTCTTAATTTTTTTTATATTAAAGTAGGGGTGACTGGTAGTAAATATGCTTCCCTTCCACCAACACTGAGGTTAAAGTGCCTATGACATGAATTCTTTTTTCTCGGTTTTTCTTAGCTTGATGCATATAAAAAACTATTATAACCTTTAATCCGGGCGGAAATGTCTTCAAACCCCTTTCTTTTAGTTCAAAACACGCGCTATCTGCGAACAAAATTGTCCCCTCTTCCGCGCGGCCAAAACTTCACGCGATTTTCTTTCGTGACGTCAAGTTGTGTACAGCCATCAAAAACAACATGGATGACAGTGCGGCAAAAAGAGTGATTCTATAATCTATAGAATCAACAGAGTGACAGTCGCTCAAAAAAATAAATAAACTTTAATAGCTAATACAATTACTGGTAACCCAGTAATTTACATTGTGGTGAATGAATGACTCGCCTCTCACCTCCACACACGTTCCGCAACTTGGTGTTTTGTGTACACAAAATTGCGTCACGATGGCCGTCGCAAGGGTTGAACTAGGTCCCAGACCCCAAGACAATTTTCACTACAAAATAGTACTTTTTAAAGCGCACAAATTCAGGTTTGAAAACGTTTCCGCCGGATTGAAAGTTTAGAGTCGTTTTTTATATGCCGATCAAGCTAAGAAAAACCGGGAAAAAAAACTCATGTCATAGGCACTTGAACAACTGATTTAGTATATAGTACACAGATAACAAAAAGATTGGTTTATTTCTGTCAAAAAATGATCGAAATTAGACATTTCACGCGCGATTGTGTCTCATCGGCTGCATGGCGGAGAATAACGCCAAACGCCTCCAAACAAGCCAATCAGCAGACAAGAAAGGACTATCTACCCGTGTGGTATATACGTATATTATCATTATTATCATTTTTATCATTATTGCTATTATCATGCGTGTTATACGATTTTGAACTGTGGTTTTTAAAATGGAATTGATTCTGGCTAGATAACTTTATTTAATTAGTTTTTTGCATGATTATACGTGTTTTTATTATTATTATTATCATTATTATTACTATTATTATTATCATTATTATCATTGATGTCATGTCTAATTAGTGCAAGTGTTTGAGGAAGACCTCTGGGTACCTCTCTCGCTCTCTTCACGTTTAAACTTATCCGTTGTATTTTATACATAGAATTGTTATCTGTATTTTTCATTAGACACAAATCACATTGGAATATTGCAGATATAGGTTACTGGGATTTGACCATAACGACTTTCTTTTGATTCCTTTATTTATATCAAAGTATGTGGAGCACTCATTTCTGGTCACATTGGAGAAATTTCAAGTCCCGGGTTTCCTCACTACATCAGCTGGAGTGAATGTATTTGGAACTACACCGCTCCTAACAATAACTCAGTACTCTTGCTCACATTTCAACGCTTCGAGCTACCTTTTGCATGGAACTGCAGGTAAAGAGGTATATAGGCTAAGGAAGTAGACAACGCTTACTATTGTGTGAGCTGATTTAATTCAAAACATATCCCTTCCTCGAAAAAAACTAAGCCGGTTAGAGGGGTCACACAATGTTTACAAACGTGCATCATTGTTTAGTCCAAAAGCCATCTTTCACCTCGCTATAGTCTTGAAAAAGATAAAGATCAAACTATATTCTAGCAAAACCCAAAACTGGACAATGACATTTTTTCTAGAAACTCAGTATATTCCAAACAGGGTGTATGCAGTTTTCCTGACCAGCTTCAACACTTATTAATCGCTTGAAATATTTGTTATAGGTAGGATGAATTGTTTGTTGCAGTTATTGGCGAGCATTTTAAAAGTGTGTGTATTTATGGTGGGGGTGTAACAATTAATCGAATTCTAGATCAATCGCGATCATGACCGTTTGGTTCGATTCACGATTCTTTGATTCCAAGTTTCAGTTTTGGTTCGATTTTTTGTATACCTTTCCCAGGATGCCCTCAGTAAATTATTATATTGTGAAATCAGAGTCCAAAACTCTTTGAAATATGGGTTTTTGATTGTTGAGCAAAGACTCACAATTCGTGCGCCTTTTTTTGTTGCTTGGTAAAAAAGTTGCCTTTCTACCACCCTTTGAAAATTTCTAAATAGGGCCAACTATGTGCGACACGCTTATTGTCACGTTCTCAAACATGACGACAAATGACTTATGAAATGTAACATCTTTTTTTACAGGCGTTTTTACATGGAGATCAATAAAGGACAAGACGTCGAGAGGATTTGTGGCAGAAGAGACGGATTAACTGTGGTTTGGGAGGGTCCTTCCTTGCACCTGCGTTATCATTCGCAACGCCGGACATCTTTGGCAACTGGTTTCAGGGCCCAATATCACATACTTAATAAGTCACTAATCGAAGGTCTGTACAAATTTTAACCAAACATAATGTAAGACCTTCGTGTAAGGTCTATGATAACTATTGTTTATTACATGTAAGCTCAAGCTTTATGTTTCAATTTTGTTTTATGATACATATGTAGCCCCTCGTATACAAGGCTGGAATATAACTGCTGAGAGTACTTCCTCTACAACAGTGTTGGTGACATGGCCAAATGTCACTATTGCCCTTTCGATGAAGGATATTTACGGCTTCGTTACAGCTTGCACAGCAACTGAAATCAAAGATACTTTACGTCTAGCTGCAGCGAATTCTTCGTCCTTCCGAACTTTGGTGCAAAGGCTTTTGCCTTACACAGAGTACAGGGTTCAAGTGACTGCCTTATCCAAAAGTCAAAGTAATGGATCCGTTTCAATGGGAAGCAGCAGTGTTGTGGTACTTAGGACAAAGGAAGATGGTGAGGAATAACTATATTTTAACATTCAAAGAACGCGGGCGACCACGCAGCGGTCGATGTTTCCACCATAAGTCGAACGTTGCCAGAGAAGTTAAACTTAGGCCGTCGGTTGGTAGAAGTCTAGAAGGTTGTATTCTTTCAATGAAGCCTTTTATGATGGTAGTTTGTTAAACTTGCAGTTCCCTCAAAGCCACCAAGTAACATCACAGCACAAGGGACAAATTCTACAAGCATTCGAGTTACATGGTCTCCCATAGATAAACATGACATCCGAGGAGAACTGCGAGGTTACCTGGTTCAGTATAAGGAGGCTTGGACACAAGAGAGCTATTACAATATGTCCGTTGGGCCTCTAGTTTCGTCTGTGCTATTGAAAGGTCTGAAAGTTTTCACAATGTACAGAATCTACCTCGCTGGGTTTACAAGAGCTGGTGTTGGGGTTCAAAGTCGACCACATTTTCCCAAAACGGGTAAGTGAAAAAACAATTGGGATATGAATACTTGGATTCGCTTGAGCATTTGTGAGTGGTAAACCATTTTTTAACACTATTTGCTAGTTACATGCAATTGCTTAAAAAGACTCTCCCTCTCCCCTTAAATAATTCGTTGACGTCTCTAATTTAAAACCTTCCCACCCTTTTCGGTGAGTCCATCATTGATGGAATGCCAATCACTTTCGTTTAAACATATTTTCTGTTGCTGTCTAGGTTGCCTGTTTTTTGTGCCCAGTGATGTCACAGACTTCGCCAGTCCTAACTTCCCCAGTAATTATCCAAGTAACGCCAACTGTACTTGGGTGATCGGTCAAGGAATGGAATTAAATGAAACGAAGATCATACTGTTCTTCGATAATTTGCATACAGAAGGTTTTGGTACTCCATGCAGGTAATCATTAATCTGAAAGGTTGCATTGTAGAAGACACCTTACTGCAGCAGAAGATTTTCCAGAGCGAAGAGCAATAAGAGATTAGGGATAGAATGGTTCTGAGTGGTAGTCGCGACGAGTTACCATTCTTTAAGCTAATCGTGTGAAAATGGGACGCCACCGCGAGCTTTGTAGAAAATTGGTGATGATTAATTTTTAAAGTTAATGATAAAGCTTGGAAAGCCTTTCTGAAAAAAATATTATTATGAAGTATTTCATCCAGTTTATAGGTACGATGACCGCTTTGAAGTTTTATCGCTTCTCTTTGAAAATGAAAAATTTGTAAACAATGAACGTTGTTAAACTAAATAAAAAATGCGGCTAGACTTCGAAATCTCGAGTTCTAGAGGACAGTCACGAATACTCGTCTATCTTGTCTACTTTAATTGCCCCGTTTGGTTGTAATGGTCTCTCTTCTTGTTGGTAATACTTGCAGCTCGGATTATGTTCAAGTGAGTGACAAATCTCAAAGTATAGATTGGAAATTTTGTGGAAAGCAGCCTCCATTTGCTGTCACCATCACTGAAAGTTCTTTTACAGTGCGTCTGTATTCGGACAATGGAATAGAGGAAAAGGGTTTCTACGCTCGGTATCTTTTGGTGAAACAGGAAATAGATCTTGGTAAGGATAAGAAGTGCAATCGCTTTCAAAATCTTAAGAAGATAAACATATCAATCTGCAAACATCATTTAAAGATTTAAAGTTTACATATATTTTGGATGAATTTAATTATCGTCATGTGTTCCGAAACACTGAAACCGAACCCATATCTCGAAAGTATATAAGAGTCTTTAGCAGCATAGTGAGCTCTGGACTGTTACATGGCTACGAGACTCGGAAAGTGGTGGGTAATTTATAGCCTCCATCTCAGTTTGAATCTAAGCTGTACATATTATAGAACTCTCTCTTTTTCTTTTTCCAAACGGTATCCAACTGCGTGATACCTAACCGCATTGTTCAATTTTCTTGATGGCAGCCATAGGCACATTGGTCAGTGGGCTGGGCATGAGTTCATGATTTTTCATTTACGCTCCAGATATAGCGAAAAAAGAAGAGAACACGAATTCAGCATCAGCTGTATTAGAGTGGAAAAAGACGCAAAATGTTGGTGAATTGAAGGGTTACATTGTATTGTACAAGTTGTCTCAGTCGTCGACGTATTGGAATGTCATACGGACAAATGATACTCAAGTATCGCTCAATAACATTCAGCCAAGAAAAGAATATGCCGTCAGAGTGCTACTCTTGGCCAAGTCAAACGTCACCTACATTAGTCAAACGTTCACCCTAGAAACTAGCGTAGGTAAGTTTGCATAAAATTTTAACAGTTCAGGAGACCTTGATCCAGATCTGACTCCAATCGGCCCAAATGCTATCCGCATTTGCGGAGCCAAAAAAAATTGAATTTTATGATGGAGCGCGAATCGCAAAAATATCCTCCCTTCCCCCATTCAATGTTGCACAATCAATGGCACCAAAATAAAATGTTGTACGAGGGGAAAAGGGGAAAAAATAGGAATATTATGGAAAACGGCGTTTTTCATAAAATAGACCTTAAGATCGAGGCTTGGCCATCTTACCGCAAACGGCAAAGCGCGGTTTGCCGTTAGCGGTTTCACGTTAGCCGTCTGTCTATATTTGGGACTTAAGATTCGCGGGTGGTAGCACTTATGAGTTATGAGAAATTCAGTTAGTACAAAAACAAGATGGCTGCTGCCCGAAGGTGATATGTGGATTAATGTGTTTGTTGGATTTTACTGATTACTTAATGAGAGCAGAACACTAAATCTTTGATAATCTTTAAAGTAGGCAAGACTACAAAGATCCGCTTGACATTATGCAGCTGGACGATCGTGGTTCTGAAGGTTCGTTGTCGAGCAATGAAGTCCTCGATTTCTTATTTCTTGATCAGAGCCATTAAGGAAACAAAATAAGAATTCATGCATTCACATATCATCGGAAATTGGCTTTTGTTTAGCCTCAAAGTAATTCGACCGGTAAAGCAGTTTTAACAACAAATAGCCGGTCGCCATGTTCGTTTTCATTCATTCGTTCACTTCTATTTTAGCTGAGAAATCGTCTTCAAAATTACGTTTCTAAGAAAAAGAATTCGATAATTAATAAGCGAAAGAGTTCTAAAAAGTAGTATTTCCTCTCAAACGTGGGATTTTGGTGTTTTGGGTGCAAAAAACCTTGTGGTAAATCACTTACCTCTAGAGCGTGGTCCAGCCATACAAAACGTGAACCTGAAACTGCAAACCTGATGGCAAGGCACTGGTCACGTGCCTTCTTGACGTTCGCGGTTCGCGGGAAATGCCTAAAAAACCTCGATCTTAAGGTCCTTAATAAAATATAATTGCGGCGTTTTCCATAACATCCCATAATTGCGTTTTTATGGACCGATACGAAGTCAAGGTCCATAAAAACGCAAAGAAGAGACCAGACCAGTGTCCAACCATCTTGACCTTACAAGCTTGGTCAGTAAAGGATTTACCATAAAGTAGAAAGATTTCGCTTTATCAAGAATCAAGAATGACTTGCTTATGTCGAGAGGCGGGAAAGAAAGCCAACTTAGTGTGTTTCTGGTACAAAAAACCAACGAGAGTCTTCTGTGCCAACGAGAGTATTCTTTGCTTTGACTGTCTTCTGCCGCTTTTTGCGACTCCCTCGCCTAAATTGTCTAAATATTACAAACGTTGAAAGTCTGCTCCAAGCAATTCTCTTATCTTGCGCGGGACCAAAGCAGGTAATCTCGAGTGGGCAATTAGGGCCCAACTTGCTCGCTCAGGTAACCCGTCAGAACACAGGATTCCCTTCATATTGCCCACGGGCACTGCCAGTAGTATAATAAAGATGTCTAAGGTGAAACTGCGATGAAAATGTGAGATTTTTTTCTAATAAACTCAACCTCTTGGAATAAGGGAGCAATATCAAACGCTGCTAGGGAAACCATTACGACGTGAAATATGACAGTATTTAGAAGTTGAATTCTCAAAAATTTATCTTTTTCATCTTCTAATTATACCTCATTTCATTTTCTTGATTCAGTACTAACTACGGGGGAGCCAACTAATACTCCGAGTCCAACAGCGGAAGGTAAAAATGCAATTAGAATTGGTTGCGTTCACAGCCAAGAAAGTATTATTTATTGCAATGGCGTTGATGAATGTTTCTTTTTCCATTGAAGTGAAACGGTGACAATTGGCCCTCAAAAGGTCTTTATGTACATGAAACGATAACGAATTAACATAGAGCATCGAAAAAGATTAGAGGTTGCGTTCGAAGTCCCGTCCACGCCGATTTTTGAAAATGGATGTGTTGTTTCCATCCGTTCTAGTCATACTATCAAACGAAAACGGCGTTTTAGAGTATTTGCATTTGCTGTATTTCTTTAATAATTTTTGTGGGTTTTATTTTGTGAAAGAAAACTGGTGGATCTTTAAACACTTGATAGTTTTCGACAAATTTGATTTAAGAGATGGTGTTCTTTAACCCCCTTTATTTAAATTTCTTCATAATAGTGCCAATTCAACTCATGTACCCCTACGGTCCTTCCGCTGGTGACTCGGAAATCCCAAACACGCATGAGTACTCATGGCAATGTTTCAAGATCGATATCCCGGACGATGGAATGCAATTCTTTGGCAAGCGTCACTACAAAGTTTACGTACGTATATATATCCTCTTGCATCCAATTTCAATAAAGTAGACTGAAATCTTCAGACAATCATCTGACAACCGTAACTTGACTGTGGATTGTGATGTCACTTGCCCTGTTGCCATTTTTTTGAACATGCAAAGTTACCCTGCTAACCTGTTCTAAGGAGTTAGCACCCAATTCAATGTGTTCAAAGCATATTTGTCCGTGTAAACTAATACTTTACCTAATCTATCAGGTCTTTTTCACCATTTCTTCAACACTCATATTCTTTTCTGAGCTCCGTTGCGTGTATTATAGTGACATGTTCAATGAACTTTTTTAATTCTCTCCCACAGCGATTCTTATTGGAATCAATGCCCATAAGAAAATAGCCGAGTTTCGCAAAAAAAATTTTAAAGTACACAAGCAAGTCAAAACCAACGATGTAATGTTCCAACGTCTCGGCGACCACATCATCATGACGCCATTATCAAGGAATGAATAAAAAGAGAGGGTTCAAAAGAGTTAAGACCTGTAAATTTACATAAATGAACATAAATGATAAAGTAACAGTAAACGATCTTCAAGTATCAACTGACCCATCCCTATTCTTTCCTTAAGATCTGTCGCAACGGATTGCTGCAGTTTGATTCTCAATGGCTTCCCTGGTGGCCGTACAATTTCGGGGAACGTTGGTGGCTGAAGAAAAAGGCAATGTTAGCACCTTATTGGTGTTTGATGGATACCGACGATTCTTTTGTGATTCAGGGCTTTTCAAAGGTTTATTATCACGTGTATTCAGATTCCGAACCACGTTCCACTGGTATGTTGAAGATGGCCTCTTCAGACACCAAGAGACTCTTGTCGACCCCTTTGCCCACCGCCTTCGAGGCATCATGGGTACTGGTGGTAACGTGGAAAAATTTACGTCCGTACCAGTATCCTGCCGATATGGCAAACCAGGTACAAGTATAGCTAATAGCACAAATGGGCAAACGTTCCACGGGTCTTATAATAGCTTTGCTAAGACTGAGGGAGGAGCTTTGCGTTTACCTTTCAAAAGAAATATCCCTGTCAGGAATTTGTGCAAACTGGTTTCACGGAGAAACGGAAATATCGAAAATAACGAAGAACTTTCATACAAAAGCAACTTGTGTGATTTCCTGATGTGAAGAGATCTCTATGGAAAGATCTACATCTTTGCTCGAAAGCTTTGTCAATATGTTCCAGGCCAGTAATCTTCTGTCCAATGGAGAAATTATACTGATAGCTATACTGATAAAATCGTTTCAGATATGAATATTTATCACCGCAGCATGATATCTAATTGTTTCTGAAGGAGCACTCTTATGAAACTTCCCTGTACTTTGGAAACCCGAAAAATCTAATTATTTTTACATAAAAACTTGAAATGTTCACTAGTTAATCGTCTCTGAATTTTTTTTAGAATTGACACACGGAAAGATCGTCAAATGACCCGCCATTAGTTTACGCAATCAATTGCCCGACTCAAGAAGACAGGGGCGAGTTTTGAGCGTGACGTAGATTACTCATTTGACGCACCATCCTCGTGGCTAATTTCCAAAAACAGTATTTTGATCGTATATATTGCTTTTATATCACTAAGACTAAGACTATTTTACTAAATTTCACGAGGTTTCCCTATAAATATAAAATGACGCCAACAGTGATTTGAGTAATCTACGTCACAATGGGAGTGAAATGTTCAGCAGGCAACCGTGGACGATACTCCTACTCTTGTACGTTGGATCAGCGATGATCTGATCGGCCGAAAATAACGAATATGAAATATAAATATAGAGGCAAGACCGATACAACGTAGATAAGTAAATTTTAAGACGGAGAACTATATTTCGGCTGGCCAAACCAGCCTTCTTCAGGTGCAGTGGGAATTAACAGAGAATTGGGGTGATGCTTCATAGATAGCTGTATGATGTAACAGCGGAAATATGTAGAACTAATTTGATTGACAATGAGATAACAATAGAAATAGAAATAGTGAGCAAAAATAGAAATGAAGTAAAGTAAATTGGATAAATTAATGGCGGGACGGTTTTCTAATCGTAATTTCTCGCCCTAGAAGTGACTTTTAACTAAAATTATTATTGAAAAGGCTTTATTAATCGATAAAAATTCATATTATAATGAAATAACTGAGTTTTTCGAATTTTCAAATTATAGGTAGGTTTCATAAGAGTGCTCCTTTAATATAAATATGGTTAATTATTGCGTCATCTAATCGTTTTGATCGTAAGTAAGAACCAACCACAAAGCGTGTATAACTTAGCTCACCATATAAGTTCTCGTTTATCCCTTATCACATTGAATCTTTAGGGAAATACGTTTCAGTTGGTCTTGATCACAAATGGAGTGTACTCCTTCACGATGTACAATTATCCAAAGAACGGCCTGCAGTGGTCTGCTCCCACCCAGAGGTTTGCTTAGTAGAGGCCTACCTAGTTTAGATTTACTTAAATGGTGGTCTCTATGAGAGAATAAGCTTGTCTATAAGTTGCATTATCTGCGCACCATCACATTGGTACCATCAGTCCTCTTGAGCCCGAAACCAACTGTCTTTGGCAATATTTACCAGTGACAAACCGATATCAAATGATTAATTAAAGAGTAATCGTCCAAAAAAATTGGCAACACCCATTCCATTCATACTACTTGATTTGGGTTAAAATCAACACAGTTAGTATTAAAAATTCCCATTGAGAAACTGCAAGAAAAACCATATCGCAACCGATGCGTAGAACGCGAATACACTTTCTTGAGGTAGGAATAGCACAAATCTGTGATATACTTAGGACCCTATCTGGCGGTCAGTTGAACTCACAACGCGTACAAAACGTTTCAAATAATGACTGCGGTTTGTGTCCTCTCATAAATATGCATGTTTGGTCGATTCTCTATACTATGCTCGAGTTTGCAGCCTGAAAACTGCAATTTCATAACGTATTCTAAATTTGTGCCGAGGTAAAGTTTCACTCACTACGAATCAGGAATAATTTAAGATAAACAACTCCATATTAGTAAGTAAATTTTGATTGGCTAGTTTCATGTTCTAAAAAAAAAAACCTGGCTCTCGGATATACATAATCGCTTCAGGGTTATAAGCTTCTGGTTATAAAAAAAAGTGTCACTCCATTAGCTACCTTGTCATGGCTCAATGGCTCTATAGCTGCTTTCATCTATTTTAAACATGGAATTGTAAAAGAGTTGACTCAGGTTTTTCCTCACCTATTGCAGAATGTACTATCGATATTATTCTAATGCGCGTGGTTTGCCTGTGGTTGGTTGGAATGCTGGAGACAAAGAAGAAAGGAAACATAACATGCCACGGTAAGTTGTGCTGCTAAGGACTCTATCTTTTAAATGGCTGGAAGACACTCTGATCTATGTGTAAATTTCCCTGTTGTCTACCTTCTAGATCGGGTACCGTAAACATCGAAACAATCGATGGAATAAGAGGCAACGCTGACATGGTTGGGAAGTGGTTCTTCCGACTGGAAGAATCCCTTGGAAAACGAAACGCAAGACAAGAGTGCATTGACTGGTTCAAAGTGCAACCAGATCCTCGATTCTACACTGAAGACCTCGAACCTTGTCCTTGTATCTTGAGACAAGCATGGTGGGACGAAAGGTTCTCAATCAACTGGAGAGACTGGCCAAGAATGTGTGCCTACGCTCAGTTCCCTTCACCAGATGGGTGGGGCCAGGAATGTTGTTATTCCACTAACT